CAGCAGCAGCCCCAGCAGCAGCAACAGCAGCAGTATACCCAGCTGCAGCCGCTAACGCAGCAACAACCGCAACTGCAGCAGCTGCCCTAGCAGCTGCGGCCGCAGCAGCAGCCCCAGCCCCAGCACCAGCAGCAACACCAGCTGCTGCTGCTGCTGCAGCAACAGCAGCAGCAGCAGCGGCAAGTGTTGCAAGATGATTGCAGCACCAAGTCAGCGCCCTTCAAGGGCTGCTGCTAAGCCTGCTGCTGTCCCTTCTTCTTCCCATAGAAATGCTGGTCCTGCTGCTGCTGCTGCTGCTGCTGCTCCTTCCGTCTCCTGGTCAACTCCTCCTCCCCCTACTTCCCTGCAGCAGCAGCAGCAGATGCTGCAGCAGCAGCATCAGCTGCAACAGCAGCAGTACCCGCCACCGCCGCCGCCGCAGCAGCAGGTATTAGGAGAATCCCCAGCAGGAGCAGCAGCAGGAGGTGGTGTTTGTCCTATGCCTCCTCCTGCTGCACCTGCTGCTGCTGCTGCTGCTGCTGCGCATGCAGAAGCAGATCTACAGTCGTCCCCTTATATTGGTGTGGGGCCCCGATCTGCTTCTGCTGCTTCCTTAAAGGGTCTCCTTAAGGGTGTTGGGGGCCCCTCCCCTGCTGCTCCTGCTGCAGCGCTGCGGCCCCCAGTCCCTCCTCTGCCCTTAGGTGCTGCTGCTGCTGCTGCTGCGCAGCAGCAGCAGCAGCAGCAGAGGCAGCAGCAGCAGAAGCTGGGTGCCTCCTTAGGACCCTCAGAGACCTACCTGAGGGCCCGCCGTAGTTCGTCGGTCAGCAGCGGCAAAGATATGATGATGCAAGAGCAGCAGCAGCAGCAGCAACTGCAGCAGCAGCAACTGCAGCAGCAGCAACTGCAGCAGCAGCAGCAGCACCGCAGCAGGCTTCCCCCTCATCCTGTACATAACGGACCTGCTACTGCTTGGCTAGAAGCAGCAGAAGCAGCAAGACAGCTGCTGCAGAATATGCGGGTACCTGCAGCAGCAGATGATGACCAGCAGCAGCAGCAGCAGCAGTTGCTGCCAACAGGGGAAGCCCGCTACCGCCGTGGCAGCAGGCAGATAGATGAACAGAGGGGAGAGAAGGAGCAGCAGCAGCAGCAGCAACAGCAACAGTTGCAGCAGCTGCAGCAGCAAGTTGCTGCGCTGCAGCAGCAACTGCAACGCGAGAGGCAGCAGAGGGCAGACGAGGCTGCAGCACTGCAGCAGGAGTCTGCTGCTCTGAGGCAGCAACTGCAGCAGCAGCAGCAACAGCAGCAGCAGCAGCAGCAGCAACTGCAGCAGCACGATAGAGGAGAAGCATTTGATGAGGAGCGGCAGCAACTCAACGACCGAGTGCAGCAGCAGCAACAGCAGATAGAGTTGCTGCAGCAGCAGCTGCAGCAGCAACAGCAGCACCAGAGTATAAGTGCTGCTGCTGCAGCAGGCGGCGTAGACCAGCAGCAGGTTGATGGTTTGCTGCAGCAAGTGCAGCAGCTGCAGCAGCAACTGAGCAGCAAGAGTCAGCAACTAGAGGAGAAGGATAAGCAGCTGCACCATCAGGAGCAGCAAATACAGCAGCTGCAGCAGCAGCAGCTATTGCTGCAGCGTCAGTTACGCGATGCAGCACAGAATGCTGCTGCTGCTGCTGCTGCTCCCCCTACAAGCAGCAGCTACAGCCGCAGCAACAGCAACAGCAGCAGCAGCAGCAGCAGATTAGCAAGATCGTTACAGACACTGCAGCAGGAAGTAGCAAGAATTCGCATGCAGCACGAAGCAGCATTGCAGTGTCTAGGCAGCTCTCCTGCTGCAGTAGACCAGAGTGGTGCAGCAGCAGCAGCTGCTGCTGCTGCAGCAGCAACAGCAGCAGGTCAGCAAGCCTTTGACGACATAGGAAATATAATTCATGGTATGCAGCAAGAGCAGCAACGTCATGATCAACAGCAGCAGCAGCACGAGCAGCAGCAGCAGCAGCAGCAGCAACCCCGATACATCCAGCCGCTGCAGCAACCCGGCAGCCCCTGCAGCAGCGTTGCATGCAGCACCCGTGTGCGCTCCCGTCGCAGCAGCGTGAGCAGCAGCAGCAGCAGTAGCAGCAGCAGCAGCAGTAGTAGTTGTGTTTCGTCAATGTTAACAGCTGTACAACGCATGCAAGAAATATATACTCGTGCTGCAGCAGCAGAAGCAGCAGCAAGACAGCAGCAGCAGGACACCAGGCAGCTACACCGCAGCAGCTTTTCTTTTATTTCCTCAAGATTTATACCTCTTATACAAAATAGTCATCCTAATACACCATCACATCTAAGGTAAGTACTGCCGCTGCTGCTGCTGCTGCTGCTGCTGCTGCTGCTGTTGTTGTTGTTGTTGCTGCTGCTGCTGCTGTTGATGGTGGTGTTGGTGGTGGTAGTTTGGTGGTGCTGCTGTTGTTGGTGATGTTTTGCTGCTGTTTGTTGTGTTTTGCTGCTGTTGTTGCTGTTTTGCTGCTGTTGCTGCTGCTGCTGCTGCTGTTTATTGGTTATGACTGTTTATTTGCTGCTGTTGCTATTCCTGCTGCTGCTGTTGTTGCTGCTGCTGCTGTTGCTGCTGCAGTGTTGCTTCGTTGCCTGTAAACAATCAGACACCCCCAAGTCGTATGTGGAGCAGCGCGCTGCCTGGCCTGCAGTCCCAGCAGCAGCAGCTGCTGCAGCCGCAGCAGCAGCAGCAGCAGCAGCAGCATAGGCAGTCTAGCTTACCTCAAGATCAGCAGCACAGAGGAGAGCAGCAGCACCAGCAGCAGCAGCAGCTATGGGAGCCTACCCATTCACCGCAGCAGCAGCTAGCCAGCATGCAAGGAGATATGCTACCGCCAAAACAGCAGCAGCAACAGGAACAGCAGCAACAGCAGCAGCAGCAACAGCAGCAGCCGCAGCAGCAGCATACCACTTCAAGTATCTTCGCGCTGCAGCGACCGCAGCAGACACCAACAACAACAGCAGCAACAGAAGGGCCATTAGGCCTCTGCAGCAGCAGCGCCTCACCGGCAGGTTTTGCCCACCAGCAGCAGCAGCCGCTGCAGCAGCAGCAGCAGCATGAACTGCAGCAGCAGCAGCAGCAGCAGCAGCACGAGCTGCAGCAACCTTTTGTATGGGAGCGCCAATCTCCCTCTCATCTCATGGCTCTAACAAGCCCTAGACAGAGCGTAGGACATGGTGTTGCTGCTGCTGCTGCAGCAGCAACAGCAGCAGCAACAGCAGCAGCAGCAGCAGTAGGTGCTCCTCTCCCTCCGCCGCTGCTGATGCAAGGCCCTGAGCAGCAGCAGCAACAACTGCTGCAGCATGCAGTGCAGCAGCAGCTAAAGCCTTCCTTTGGTCCTGGTGCTGACGTATCTCCAAAGCCACTGCAGCAGCAAGAGCAGCAGCAGCTGCAGCTGCAGCAGCACGAGCAGCAGCAGCAGCAGCAGCAGAACGAGCAACAGCAGCACCAACAACACGAGTTCCCGCAACCCGGTGTACAGCAGCAGCATTACGACCTGCAGCAACAGCAGCAGCAACACGAGATGCAGCAACAACAGCAGCACGAACTGCAGCACCAGCAGCATGAGCTGCAGCACCAGCAGCAGCAGCAACACGAGCTGCAGCACCAGCAACACGAGCTGCAGCAGCAACAACACGAGCTACATCAGCAGCAGCAACACGAGCTGCAGCAGCAGCAGCACGAGCTGCAGCACCAACAGCAGCCGTTTTCTCAACAACCGTCTTATGGTGAGCAGCAGCTGCTGCATCACGTACAAGATGAACAGCAGCAGCACGAGCTGCAGCAGCAGCCGCACGAGCTGCAGCAGCAGCCGCACGAGCTGCAGCAGCAGCCGCACGAGCTGCAGCAGCAGCCTCACGAGCTGCAGCAGCAGGCGTCTGTGCCAGGCCTGTTAGAGCAGTTCGCTCAGCAGAGCCAGCAGGAACAAGATCTGCAGCAGCAGCAGCAGCAACATCAAGAGCATGAGCAGCAGCAGCATTTGCAGCAGCAGCAACACTTGCAGCAGCAGCAGCAGCAACAGCAGCAGCAGCAGCAGCAAGACAGGCAGACGAGCCTCGGCAGGCGTAGCGACATGGCGTATATATGGGAAGATGATAATCAAGAATTTTGGAAGCAACCGCAGCAGCAGCAGCAGCAGCAGCAGCAGCAGCAGCAGCAGCAGCAGCAGCAGGTTCAGGACAGTAGGCGCAGTAGCGCAAGAACAATTGATGACTTCTTTGCTTAAATTAATTAATTAATTAATTAATTAATTAATTAATTAATTAATTAATTAATTATGTTTATTTATTATATATTTATTTATATATTTATTTATATATTTATTTATATTTATATTTATATTTATTTATAATTATTTATTTATTTATTTATTTATTTATTTATATTTATTTATATAAATAAATAAATAAATAAAAATAAAAACTTTAATAACAAATATGTCGCCTATAGGCGTCTCTTTCTTAAGTGCTGCTGCTGCTGCTGCTGTTGCTGCTGCTGCTGCTGTTGCTGCTGCTGCTGCTGTAGAGACCTAGGGAAACGCATGCATGCAACAGTCTGCGCATTATTATTTATAAATAAAAAATATATTTATATATAAAATAAATATTTATATATTTATATATATATTTATATATATTTATTTATATATAAATATATAAATAAATATATGTATATAACAGGACTTTAGCTGCAGCAAACCCTAAACCCTAATTTAGGGTTTAGGGTTCAGTAAGGGTTTTAAATAAGAATTGGGATAAGACAGAGTTGTCTCTATGCCCCGCCTCCTTAATAATAAATAAACCCTAGCTTGAGGGTTTAGGGTTTAGGGTTTACTGTTGAGGCAGCAACCGCACGACACCCATTTAAGGGTTTAGGGTTTAGCTGCTGTTGCTGTTGCTGCTGCTGCTGCTGCTGCTGTTGATTACGCACTAGGGATTGCCTGTTGAGGGTTTAGGGTTTAGGCTGTTTTCTGCAAGTATGATCAAAGAATACGATTAGGGTTTAGGGTTTAGGGTTTATGCCCTTTTCCCTCCAAGTATAATAGAAGAATACGATTTACCCCTATTGTCTAGGGTTTAGGGTTTAGGGTTTAGGGTTTATGCTTTTTTCCTGCATGTATGATCAAAGAATACAATTTGTGTATTTTTATCTGCATGCACTTTTATTCTTTTTGTGATTTTCCTCTACTGTTTAGGGTTTAGGGTTTAGGGTTTAGGGTTTAGGGTTTATGCTTTTTTCCTGCATGTATGATCAAAGAA